TACATGCATGGGCTCGATGCCCATGGTTTTCAACCAGTTGAGAAGATATATCAAAGATAATATACAGCATCTAATAATACACCAAATCTTCTTAAAGATATGTAAAGGTAGGTTGACTGCAACAATGTGACATTAAAAAGTTCTAAAAGCTCTAGTTTGTTGTAGCAGCCTGATGCAGTAACACTGATTCAACCAATAACGTGAGTTTGGGGTGGGACTTCCTGTCTGTCTGACCAATAGAAGGCAATGAAATGATTCTGGAAACCTTTACATTTCCAATTCAGTTTGGTGACGTTAGTGGAGCAGAAATTACATTCATGACATTTCTAAACAATTCCTAATGTCTAAAATAAGCTGTAATATTTATTACTCAAATAATAGAGTAATGTTAGTTAATGTGTTTAATAAAAGTAAAAAAAATTTTTTTAAATAAAAATAAGAACTTTTAAATGAAAAAATGATCGTTGTGTGACAAGAAATCATACTGATATACATTTTCGATTTAGCAAAAGTACTAATTAAAAATGTATATTTTAATTGAAAATTTGATTAAGTGCTACTACTAAGATAAATACATAATTTTGAATTAGAATTAATAATTAAATGATTAACAATTAAAATTAAATAACAATAATAATAACAACAACATTTTAAAATAAATATATAATACGTTTTTTTTTCTTGGTCCCATGGTTATTATAGTTAACTAAAACTAAAATCATAAAAAAAAACGTTAAAATAAAACAAACTTAAACTGACATACAGTATATTTTTAAAAATCCTTTTTATGATTTTTACTGATTTTAGTTCAGCTAGTTGCTGAACATATCTCAACATTTCAAGCATTTAGTTTAATTTGATACTAAAATGGTACTAAAATAACTAAAACTAAAACTGAACTAAATATTAAATAAAAACTATACAATAAAAAAAAACACAAAAAAAATACTAAAACTTGAAAAAAACATTCAAATGAAAACAGACAATAACAAAAAAAAAAAAAATCTAAATATGAATAAAAACTATAAACAGTCTACTGGTTTTATCTCAATTACACTAAAATAACACAGCTCGGTCCCTCAGTTTTTAAACCTCTCATTAGTAGAGATGATTTTCTGTGTTAACAGAGAGCGTCACAAATACCGTTCACAGAATATTCCTTTAACACGCCATTAAAACCCTTTCTGAACAACAGATCAAAGCGATCCCTCTGAGAACAGCAAGGAAGAATAAACGCAGGAAACAGAAGTATGAAGAACAGGAAGTAGATTCTGATTGGCCGGTCGAAGCCCCACCTACCCGTTGTGCTGTTCCCCTGTGGCTTTGCTCTCCAGCAGGCCACGCCTCTGGCCCAAGGCCACCACGCACACGTTCTCATTGGAGTAGAGGTTGATGGGCGTGTTATAGACGGACGAATGAGGGGCGGCGGGGGCCGGGGGCGGAGCCATCACTCTCGCCGGGGAGGAGGAGCCAGAGGATGGTGTGGAGGAGGAGTTAGTGAAGGGGGAGTGGCCAGAGGCGGGTTTGGGGGAGGAGCCAGGCTGCTGGGACGGAGCGGCTGGGGTGAAGGCAGACGAGGCAGAGGGGATGGAGGCTTTGGGACTGACCGATCTGACGGTGTTAGTCGTTCCGCCGAAGGGCCGAGCCGTCTTATTATAAGCAATGCTGGCGGGGCCGGTGGAGGCCCCGGGCGCTTGGCTGATGGGCACCGGCTTTATGATCTCCTGTGGTTCCTCCTACAGAAGTGATGAAACACATGCAACACATGCTCACGGCACACGCATGCAGGAGTCCCTCATTACAGCCCTAAAGAACGCTCACTTCAGCTTTTCACATGCACAGTCTGTGGCCAATTTATTTGCATGACTAATTGATTACAATAATTTTTAATTCATTTTAATTCACATCAGGGTTATTATAATTAACTGAAACCATAAAAGAACATTTCCGTTACTTGAAATACAATACATAAAACTATAAAACTTTAAATAAATTTTTTTAACTAGTTTCCCATTTTCATTTAGTTCATGTTTATGTACTAAAATAATTAACTTTACAACTAACTATTATATTAAATAAAATTAATTATATTATATATTAAATAAAATAAAATAATATTATAATACAATTTTAATTAAAAAAAAACTAATAAAAATAAAATTACAAAATTTTTCATATTAAAAGGAAAACAGAATATAT